TGCTGTCCACGCCAAGCAAAATGTATAGCCCCATCATCCTGGAAAGACAAAAAAATGCTCGCGATTCAAGATTACAACCGGAACAGGCTGGTTGCTTTCAGGAAGAACAACACAGCATACAATTGCAGTCAACTCTCTATCTGAACTTCATCGATTGTTAAAAGGCCTTCGACAGCGTCAACCCACAAGTAATCTGGCAGCTGCTATTTCAACACTACGGTTTCAGAACCACAAACCTTTATCAATCTCATTCAACAGCTATATGACGACACCACATGTCAAATGATTCACAATGCAAAGCTCACTGACGCCTTCCAAGTGAACACAGAAAGCAGTTAGACAAGGCTGCCACCTACGATCACCCATCATCTTCCTCATTGTGGTCAACTGGACTCCATCATGCAAAGAACTTTTATGGGAGAGAACAGGGCCACACGCTCGCTGGATCGATGAAAAGATCCCACAAGAAGATTTCGATTTCGCCAACGATGATGAATTATGTCTAATCTCCTGTCACACAAACTCGAAGATTTACAGATATAAGCCAACAAGTTGATACAAGAATTGAAACAGCGAAGATGGCACTTCCTTCAGGTGAACGTAGAGAAGACAGGGTTGACAAAGATACCCAACCAACAACATCAGCAACAGGCTTCAATCATCATCAACGGGGGGAACCTATAGGAAGTTACCTCTTTCACCAACCTGAATAAGCAGTACCGTTTCAACTACAGGCCACAGCTGCGGCATAGATGACGACGTCAAAACCAGGATCGCAAAAGCAAGACAGGCTTTCATTGATCTGAAATCAGTGTGGAGATATACTGCACTGCACTATACTCAGCATGAGGCGTGAACAACATCCGGATGTTCAACACTAATGTCAAATAAGTCAGTGCTTCTATGTGATGGTTGAGAAACTTGGAGCGTTTCGAAAATCATTTGCAACAAACCACAGACATTCGTCACATCAACAGCTGCCTGCTATGCTCACTCGACACTGAAGATCAGATGGCCAGAATAATAAGAATAAGTAAGGAGGAACTCTGGCTGGCCCCACAACGAACCAACCAAAAACCCGTCGTGCAACAAATATTCAGTGGAAGAAACTGGAGATGGATTGGATTGGGCATACACTGAGGAAACCATTCGGAGACATCATGTGTCAGGCCAGGCAGTCGAGTGGAAGCCAAATGGGAAACGTCGAGTTAGGCATCCAAGGGTGACATAGGGAAGACCGTGTGAGGAAGAAATGAAAGTTTGTGGGCAGTCGTGGAGCCAGACTGAGAAGACTGGAGGGAAGAGAGTGCAATGGAGGCGTGCTACTGAAACCCTATATCCCACAAGGAACCTAAGGGAAAAATAATAATAATAATAATATATACATGAAATCTACGGTATTATTTAACCCCTGTACAATATAAAGCCAAGAGGTACCTCAACAATGCCATCTTGGTACTATACAGTCAACAACAGATTATTTGATTCAAAATGTCTACTTATATGATAAAAGGGATCAATAAGTGAGGAAGATTACCTATTCACAACAAACAGAATATATTTCCAACAAAAGGAACTTTTAGTATCAGAATACAAGAGTTAAATCAAACACTAGGAATGTCTCAAGCAGACAACTGAATCAAAAGAAAAACAATAATGGCCTCCTACATCACCTTGAAAATAGAAAAACAACAGTGAAAGTAAACTAAAACTTTGAACGTAGCCCTATACTTTCACAAGCTGGATTATGCAGAAAGATCCAAATATAATTTTACTGAAACTGGGAAACTTATATGAGTACTCCTATGGGTTTAGGTAACACTTAAGGGTAAGAAAACATGACAGCACAAGAAGAATTATGAATTACCAATGTACGTGAGTAATTGGTTCAAAAGTGAATGTGCTACTGACACTGTAATGATAGAGTGTGAGGACTCAGTATGGCATCGATATATGTCCAGAGACAAAGTACCTGTTTTAGAGGAATCTCTCAACTCCTTACTAGTCAAAGGGCACGAAGCAGTAAAACCTTCAGGTAAAATCTGGAAGAAGCGTAACTCAGTTATTCATTATAATATATGGAGCTGAATAAAGAAACTTCTTCATCTTCACAGAAGTGATCCAAAGAAATAACTACAGTTCGAATATACTAGCTGATTAAGAGAAAACCTATACATTCTAAAGTCATAATTTCAGGTTGAATCAAATAACCGTGACCTGAATTTCATGTTCATTTCACCCAGTACCAATGAGATTCCCTTTCTCCATAATTCTCCTTCTGATAACATTGTATTTTTCAAGTATTTCTTTATATAGGGCAAAAGTTAGAAGTCGTTGTCAAATATCCAGGCTATTTTGACCTTTCTTTGGTAGTCTTAGCAACTCTGATTATATGACGATAAGAATGATGCATTGAGTAATGACAATTGTTTCTTTTCGTAATCATTCTTGACAGGCCCCTGCAATTGATAGATAGACACTCACATACGCACACACACACAGTACATGCCTGAAGGGGACAAGTACAATCATAGAAACTGAATAATAAAACTGGTTATTCATAAACTGAAACATTCTCATGACGGTAACCTATATATGCATACTGACATAGTACAAGAATCGATATCTACCTTGAGATTAATATACCTTATCTATACTTTGCACAATGACGATAATTTTGTTGAATTAACAACATATCACAAGATTTTTTTGGCAATTTACTTGAAAACTGATTGTATTAAATGAACGTATGACCTGTTGAGAGTATCGGTTTGCATGGTATTACAAGATAGATTTATATAAGATTAGTTTACTTAGAGGTTTGTTCACATTGTGTGCCAAATATGAGATTATGCTTTTAACTGTTGAGAACAGAAAAGATTCTTTCTTTATAACATTAGTATACTAATCATAAATCTCACTGACTACATTAGTCTCTCAATTATGGCTCCAGATAAAATGACCCATTGAAAGGAAAATTGGGATTTGAGACAAGCATTGTCAGTCGTACCATTTTATTTATCTTGTGAAAACATTTTAGTCAAGACTTAATTTATAGTTTAGTGTTATCGTATGAACTGATCTCGAGAGAGTTGTATGCACCGTCTACGTATTCCTGTGCAATATATTTGTCGAAAATAACCGACTGTTAGGAGAAGCAACTACTGAATACAAGTCGTTATCGATCCATAAAATCAATCACTGTAATTTTATGAAATATGGCTCGATGTGAGAAAGTAGTTCAGTTTCATATATCAATGTATCAGCGCAGTGGTAACAACAATGATAGTGAGACACCCATCTGTATCTCCTAGTCCACACTGGGAGGGGAAGAAATGCAGTTAGTTATAAGGTTGTAAATATCTCATCTTGCGTTCAATAGAGTTGCTAACTAATTTTCAGGCAGGTTTATCGTGGTAGTAAGTTGTAAATCAAACTGACAGAATATATCACTTAACGGAAGTGTTGTTGTTCAAACAAAATGGACGAGGAAACATCCTCGATTGTTTATTAACGTCCATACTCTTTTTCAATCTAGATGCACCTTATGAAAGATTACAAATCTTACGTAGCCCTTTTTGTCATCATTCGGAAGGTACGTCATCAACTAGCAAAATTATAATCATAACCACCATTATTATTGTTTCAAACCCATTATTTAAATGATTAGACTTGCTTTGTTCCCATCAACCTCACTCGTCAGGTAATTAGTTCCACTTGCATCCCACCAGTAATACTCTGATATGGATTATTAGTCCAGTGCCAACTTATGTGCATCCGATTTATTATCGACAGTTTGAAAAACTAAGTAAAACACAGAAGTTTGGATATCGTCAGTGGAAGTGAATGGTAGTATTAAACCTGTGTTTTACAGTCGACGTGATTGTGTTCACATTTCTGTCAAGCATAACAGGCCAATGCATGTCAGGAATATGGTAGTGCATCACTGATTTCATTTCGATGTGTTTGCATGTGATATTGGAACTTGGGAATCAATGTCTCCTGTACATCCACTCATAGTGGTTGTATTCAAAAAGATAATGACTTGTCCACAAACATAACTCACAAGGTATGTTACTTTCAAGTTTATACAAGATGAAAATGTACTTACTATTCAGGTGGATTGTGGTACCCTCTACGACATGCACAACAAATCACTTGACTGGAATACTCAAGTTATTCTCATAACCTAAAAGTTAGTAGAGCACCACTAGTCACCTCAGTGGTATGAAGAGAGAATGTTACCGAAATCATCACATTGTGAATCTCATCACCAAACTCCAAGATAGTTGTTCGTCATTTATCCTGATCAACATTTAGTAGTATATTAGACGGTTGGTATAATTGTAGAGAAACGCAATCGGAAATGAAAACGGAAAATAAACTATTGATCGTATTAATGGTACAATAAATGGAAGATAAAGACTAGTTCATTAGTGACTTCGAAGGAGACATAAAAGGCAAATCGAAAGAGAACTTACACTTATTAGTCTTCCTAGCAAAATAATCAGTTTTTAACAGTTGTTGTTGTTGTGAAATGACTTCCACCCATGTATTCTACCAGTGAAATCTCTTTCGAAATGCACTTTTTACCATCAAATCCCTGTCAACTTACTTCTGACTTTACTTCATACTTGGAATTGTGTCTACGCACTGTTTTTCCAACAGTCTCACTAAGCGGCTTGTATAAATTTACAGACCAGTATTTGTAATTTGATTAGGCATAAATGCAACCAAATATCTGAATGTCAATTGGACCCATCTAGTAGACACATGGTAAACGTTTTTCAGGGGAATTGCATCTCAGAAGATAACTTACTCAATCGTTTCTGCCAACAGAACAGAATGCGAATCTTATTCACTTAAAAAATGAATAACCAATCATATCTCAGAGATCCATCCGATTGGCGTAACAGTTAACCTATCAACTCATCATCAATAAATCAGTAAAGTATATAAAAGTAACGTCACTGAATCATCTTTCTTTGTCTCCTTCTGGTTTCACATCTGAAAAATGATACATCGTTTGAACGGTAATTTTGTGGATACTTTGCTCCTCTATAATTAATATTGCCAATATGATTATCTATTAAAATACCGTGAAATTCTGTATTGCATTTTTGTATAACTGTCACACATAAACAAGATGTGGCTCCTACTAGATGACATAACAATGCTGTGAATCAATTCATTTTATTGGAGAACATCAAGTTTCTAGTAAGCAGTTACTCGATGTACAACTGAACATCGAATTGAATATGAGGAGAACTCACGGAGAAACAGTGGCAAATTTGTACTTAACTGACAGTTTACAATTTTAACTGTATGAACACATGGCTTAAAGTATTGATGGAATGAGCAAGTGCTGATTAATTTATTCCATCCTCTGTCCACATCAAACAATGTCAACTGGTGATAATCATCGATTTTAGAAATGCAGTGTGGTGGAAATAGTGAATACAATGTGGAGAACTGTAGTTAAGTTTCGATAGGGTGTAACACGAAGAGAGCAAAGTTGTTGCAAACTGTGAATAACAGAAATTATTCTGGGAACAATGTTTATTGAAGAAATTTCAGAATGTCAATACATTTTGTGGACATTGTTATTTCTCTTATTTGCTGGTTAATTTCCGTAATTTGTTGTTTGACAAACTTGTTGAAATAAATATTTAGATTTACTTTGGTGAGTGATGAGATAGATACATTTCCATTCCACATCCAGTTTAAGATATGACTCACTATCAGGAAAGGTTACCTCAAATGTCAACTGACCTGCACTTTGCATACTAATGGAGAATAGTATGACGCACATTTTCGAATGAAATGAATAGACTCAGCTACTATGGGATTCGATATTTGACAGAAATTTTTCATTTACGATGGATTTACAAACATCTGATTAGAAACTCTGCACTAATTGAGATGCAAGTATATCCTATTTACGAGTCTCAGCCACTGCGTAAAGCTCTATTGGGATGCATTTACTAACAACGACCATTGAAATACTATTTTATCCCCTATTTCTGCTGCTCACTGAATCGTACAGTTCATCTAATTATGCAAACTAATACATATCGTAATACATAAACTGACGAAAAGGCGATAGTTGTGAGGTAGCAACTCTTGAAATTAAAACTTGTGGTGGTAATTAAATTATTTCAAAACACTATGGATATTTTTACCTTTAAAGAGATAAATTTATATGTAGAATAATAGTTTAGCGAGAAAATTTCGCAAACTATCTGACATAAAAGTAATTTTCCAAATCTAAGGTCAATCATAATACCTTCAAGAACTACAGATGTTGTTTGTTAAAGGTCACTTTCGGTCAACTAAGCATATGACACTCACCTCTTAGGACAAGATGATAATAGCTAGGACCGAAACTCATTCAAGTAATGGTGAAATACGTTCTAGGTTTTCGAAAGCATATCAAAAGTATGGGTGAGTAGGTCGGGAATATGAGTTTATTAAACAGCATAATTTGAGTAGAAATCCAAAAATAGCTTCTCAGGTGAATAGAGGGAAAATGATACCAATAAATTAGTAAAACTTCTGTAGGACTGTAGGATTCGATGAGAATATTAAATCATGGAATTGCGTACCAGCGATAAGAAAACTAACATGGAACTCACTGTACGTGAGAAGGTTAACCACATCAAGTGTTCGTCCAGAAGGTGGAAGTAGTTATTGAAATCAGTATGTGAGAGTTAATTTGATGTAGTTTAGTGTATACAACTGCATTACTTTCCTAGGAACAGTTATTCATGAACTGGCAAGGAAACTGAACAAACATGGGGGAAATGAAGGACCACTACTCCAGAATACATAAATAGCTGGACCATGTAACTGTTTATTCAGATTTATTGATGAACAGTGATTAAGTTGACTATTGAAAGTGTTTATGATGATAGTGAGGTAGACTGCTAAAGATATGAGTTGTAGCCTTCTCTTATGGTGGATATCATCTAGTTCTTAGTCTAGAATTGAGCTTGTGGGGTAAAAGTTAAAGCATCTCTTTTCATCTACTTCCTTGCTTTACCGCTAATCAAGTCCTACTCTCCATCTTATTATTTCCCCTGTTTCTAACTTCAATGAAGCTTTGAAATGCGATCACTCAAACAGTGTACAGTGTTCAGTTACTCCAGACCGTTTACTGATTATCTCTATCGTCATGCGTACAGACGATGACTCATGAAGACATCGTTTTATTGCTGTTCATATTTCAATTCTGATTTACAATTTCATTTGCATTTTCAGCAAATTCCATTTTCAAATGTTTAATGTGGATCGTGTTGGTTCTCATCGGTGTGACAACAATCAAAACACTCAACGACCGTTATTCCAGTATGCTACAGTTTCATAGATGTGACAATATGGATAAGAACTTGACGAAACCAGTGTTGGATCATGAACATCCTCGAAATGCTTCAATAATATTTATTGGTGGACATCAGAGTACAGGTAAGCACATCAGGTATATTGTCAATTGAATTGCATATGTATATATATATATATATATATATATATATATATATATGTGCAATGAAAGTCATTGACCTGTATCGAATTGAACATGTTGTTACATTGAAGGTTATGTGCAGTAGATAAGTGGGAAAACTCTTCATCTCCACACCATCTGGATTTCATATTACATACAAAACTGAACGAATATCACTGAGACAATATCTGGATATCAGGTGTCTTTTGAGAAAGTTGCAGTGTGTACAAAAGCTTCATAAGTTGTCTGTCAGCTTCACTGCTTTCGTGCAATCCAACCTAGTGTTCCATCTCTATGATGACACAGGTGAGATAATGTTTTGAGCCATTTGGACTTGGCTTTTTGAATGAGCCTCGATTGTGGTTCGATTCGAAGGAGAACTGTCTGAAATACCAGTGTGGTACTGTGCCAACTGAGCTACCTTCATCACGATCACACTAAATTCCCAGCCAGCACTTCTCATCATATTCCATATTAAGCTGAATTAAAGACAGTGATTGTTCGATTGATCATTATCGATTCACATTGATTCGGATATGGATGGGAAATTGTGACTGGACAGTTGATGTGATAACGATAAACACACCGATGTGTTTCATGCATTCACCTGGCGGTCAGATGAAATCCTCAGTGATTAGATTGGAGTGAACAACCTGTTGAAAACTGAGTCTCGTAGCTCAGCTGACAGAACCCTGTGTCAGTAACCCAGAGGTGAGAATTCTACTTCAACCCATGTTTCATCCAACTTTCAATCATCACCATGTATCAGCGATATCAGGTTATACTACAAAGTCTCATGAATAAAAGGAATGTGCATTTTACCAGTTTAGACAGCCACAGCGTATATTTACCTAATATTTGACTCACTGATTTATGGTAGTTAAGTTCCAACAGAACCATAATTTCAGTAGATATCATAAGAATATGCATTTTTCTCCAATTCAATAGTTGTTAGTGGGTGTTACTATAGATCGTTGAACTCTTGCAACTAGATTACTGTATCTTAAGTGCTCAATGGTGTTTGCTTTGCGTTCACCTCAAAGACTTTTGATTTCTGACCTTTCCTTGAAATCATCACTTCTTCTCCGCACAACTGAATATAAATCCTTCTTTCACTAACTATATTTTCAGAGTGTTGTCTTTCCAATTTGCAAAACAAAAGAACTAAACTAAAAGGCCACAGCCGCATACAAAGAATTCGACTAATTAATATTCATTCAAAATCTAACATATTATTCAGAATCCAGTGGACTCTTTGCACTTCACTCATTTATTATCTGATTTCAAATTGAACATGCTAATTTGATATGTTTAGGGTCAGGGTTATGTCCTTAACTTCATGCCTTCTGTTTCGCTTTTATATACACCATCTGCCACTCCTATATCAGGTCACATGAAGGAATTGTGTGGCTACCTCCATTGTAATTGGTGTGGATGCATATTATTTAATGCTGTGGAAATATTATGGAACTGTCATTCGATAGTGATAGCTAGCCAAAGTTTCATTTCTAACTTACTTGAATTGAATCGACAATCGGAAGAAGGCTGTTGGATTTATCTGTGAATCGTTTGCTTTTATGCTTAAGTCACATAGATCTGCTTCAATTTGTCACGTATATCATACTCACCTCACTGTTGTGGTTACTGTAGTTACTCTGATTTTCATTCACAACGTTGAGGTTTTTTATCGCCTTACAGATACTTTTATAATTCATGAAAACCTACTGACATATTGTTCCAAAATCAACTAGAAATAAATTTCTTCAGATTATGTTTTTCGCCTTGGCACCAAATCCAGCGACATCAGGAAATGTTGTGTTTCGCCTCTGGATCTTTGATGCTCTTCAAGGTTAACGTGTACATTTAAGGTGCTCTCCAACATTGATTCTCATCTTTGGGAAATCCTTCCCTATGTCCATACGAGGGCAACTGATTTGTATTACTAACTTCAATTTAAAATCTTCTGTTTTATCCGAAGAAAAGTGTTACTGTTGAACCTGTGATCAATTCACACTAGTTTATGTGAAACATGTGGAAATGGTGGGAGAGAAAAGCAATTTGTGTGCTAATCATATGTGGTAAATTCACTGTTGTACTGACATGGAGGGACCTGCTTAGCTTAAATTCGTTATGCAATCCATGATCAGTTTGCATTATATGTAGCTTGTAACCGAAGATAAAAGTTCATGCTCGATGGTTGTTGGTTGAAGCTGGAGAGTGAATAATCCCTGACATGATTCAGGAATGGGCATATAATTTTCCAGAGATATTGGCTCAAATATTCTCTGATGATTGTAACTGAATTCATGCACTGGTTGAAATATACAGAAACGGGGAACTCAATGTTGATACAATTAAATGACCATTGTCTATATTTGGAAACGGGTAAACTTGACTATAATTTGAATAATTATCCTCAAAGCAATTCTATAGAAAACAACAGGTATGTATATTTAACAGGATTTTTATGGTGGACAACCAAAATTCCAGAATAGTACTGTCCCACTTATTGGCCAGATATGATAGTGGCAACTGAGGTTTCAGTATTTCAAGTGTTGAATGTGACAAACTTCAGTAGTTCGCCAGTAATACAAAGAAACAGTACTAAGTAGAAATCTACAAAGTATATACTACTAACTGACATGAGCATTTGTACACCACTCATGCTGATAAGCAGTGATCGTGACCAGATCAAAGTGGTCTAAACGCCAAATGGTTATTTCTCTCGTTTGGAATCGAGCTCATCAGTGATATCCCTCGATTATTTCATAACAGAGAGTCAAATTGTCCAAACCACAGGAATTTCGACTTGCTGCTTGACCATTTGATAGTATATACGGCATTCTGTGGTGAGGTAACTGGCTGACGTTTCTGTGGTTTCGGCAACTTACGTCTTTGATCTGAAGCAATCCGAGTACACTACTGATGAACACAAACCTAAACGATAGGACCAGCCACCTGGTGTTTAAGTCACCTTGATCAGGTGAGTGAGCAGTTCCGATTGGCGTGAGTGATCTACAGCTACTCATACCAGTCAATAACATATTTCGTACAGCTATCGTACTGTCAATCTCCACACCATTTCTACTGTTGAGCAGATCACATTATGTGGTCTGAATATTTTGGTTTCTTCAGGAAACCACAGTGCGATTTCTCATCAGGGATTGCGTGTCCCACAAACATCCGATTTGATATTGAGTAGAATTCTTCCACATATTCACCAATAAATACATAATATCAAGGAAATGATTCTAAAAACTTGTCTGTCAATTGATTTACCGATGAGATTCAGGTATGATTGAACTCAACTAGTTCACTTTCAGTGAAAGTTGCTAAGAAAACTCAAGAGGAGAGGTGACTCAGTTGGACAGTTTGGGAAGAAGAAACGTAGTTCAGTTTATTATGCTGTGCATAATTAGGTAGTGATTGATTGTTTCGACTTGACTCAACATTCCATTAAAATTCTCTCCTGTTTACACTCAGTGCTTTGGTCACTTCTTACGTTTATGCAGCTATTCGACTTACTTTCGCATAAATCTAACACCATGTAAGCCAATAGCAGAATAATCGGTCAGCTTATTTTCAACTGACTAAAATCTTGAAACACTTCATAATTCACTCGTGTATCAGATATCTGGTAATAATTTGAGACAATTTATCCTAGGTTTTGTTGGTAGAAAAAATTGACATTTTGTAGTCAGCAGAGAAAAGAAACAACAGTCTAGTCTATCAATGACCAAAACTTGTGTTTAACGTGTCCAAAAACTGTAAAACACTTAACTTGATTAAGGAGGTCACCTCTGTTTCATATAAGCTGCTACTACGATGGTGAATGTAAAGAGGCTGAGAATGAAGTTTATTTCGGTGCGATACTTTTATACACGATCATCTCTGAATTCAACGTGTGACTGGTTACTCTCACTGCATTCTAGTTTCTACTAGATCAGATCATTACACTTGCCAAGCAAAACATTTCTTTCTCCTAACTAATTAATTAATATTTCAGGTACCGGACTGACGCGAATACTTTTGGATGTTCATCCAATGGTACGATGCGGTCCTGAACCGATCATAACATGGGAAGTTATGAACTTCAGAAAATCAGTGGGGCCTTACCGAAACAAATTGGTGGCATCTGGAGTTGATTCACATGTCATAGATGAAGCCACAGCTGCATTCATTGTTTCAGTGATTGAGAATATGGGTCCACCTGCGAAACGATTGTGTCACAAACAACCTGGAATCTACTATCATCTTCATGATTTAGGTGATCTATTTCCTCAAGCAAAATTTATTCACATGATTCGAGATGGCAGAGCAGCAGTGCTGTCAACCGTTGCGTAAGTTAACGAAATATGTTGCATAGCATACAGGTGAATAGTATTATCATTACCGTTTATTCCTATGGTGTATTTGGATGAAAATCGACCTGTGATTTCACCCTATCCTGAGCAGATTGAACAGGAACAGACAGTCTTGTTGCATGCAGTCAGCATATTCCCTTGGCAACCATACACAGTTAACTGAATAGTGTGGAAGCAGCTATGTCGTACTTGAGATATTGACAATTCAGATGAGATATGTAAGCGAGTAACAGTTTTTGAGTAGATTCTCTTCAGGTTCTACTTTAAAGCACATCACTCTGTCTCTTCTCCACTCTCTGTTCATATATGAAATGTTAAACTTGTTATGTTAGTTAGCGATAACACGGTTATAGACCGTAGTGGTGGTAAAAGTGGTGGCGTGATGATGGTGTAAAATGCAACTGTAACACAAGCAGTGGTCATAACAATGCAGACAGTATGAAATTCCTGATACTCTGAGGACTATAACGGGTGAAACAACTTGAAAATCTTTTGTGTACTTTTGAAAGATATTCGTAATTACTGAGAGAAACTCAGTTTAATTTGATGAATATTATGAAGAAGGTAAATATTATTGAAGCGATAAAGTCAGTTGGTCAGTGTCATGGTGTTTTATCAAGGCAGAAATGTAGCATGTACATGATTCCTATGGAAATAAAGGTTAGGGTTATTCGTTCGAGTTCTTAATCCATGTGTACAATCTCGATTTTCGAAATGTTAGATCAGTGACATGAATACTGTTGAATATTTTGGTTTTCTACCGCCTAACTTATGTCCACCAAATACAACAATTAGTCTTACTTATCGTTTCCATAGTCATGAATTCAGATGTTAAGCACCACATCTGACAAGTTTTTTCAGTAGTCAGTCGTACCTAAAGAGTTATAGATGTGAAATCTTAAATGAACGTTAAGATTTTAAAAACTCAGAGAACTCACTCTTTTACCATACATCAACCAAAAAATTATAAGCACAATTCTGCAAAATGAAAATTTATTTGAATAGCTCCGATGAACAATACATCTATGAAGTGTAAACTGTTCTTTACAAGTGAGAGAGTTTCATTCTAGCGAAAAGTGATTAGTAATAATAATGAGTTGAAAATAAAAATAGGGTTGGGACATTTTTGGCTAACTGATGACAATCTTCAAAAGTTCATTCTCTGGATTGCAATTTTTTTCTGTGAGAGGTGGTGGAAATTCGTTAGAATTGAGCCTAATAGTGAAACTATGACAACTTCGTTTGCTTATCAGTAGGTGAAGGTGTTACTCATTGAGTGAAGCACTTGAATTTCAACCAGTATGCAGCAGGTTAATATGCTGCTTTATACAATCAGGTTTCAGCAGTCAGATAGCGTAGTCAGCCATCACACAATCAATGTAGCTCACTGCTTAGTGTATGAACGTGCACTTGGTTGCTGAGAGACTTTATTTAGTTTAGTTTATACGTTATATGTTATTGTCGAAAACAAAGTGTGCAACCATAATAGATGTAAAAGCTTTTGTTTGAGACTAAGTCCTTTACTTCTAGCATTTACTTACCTTTTTAATATCTGTTGACTTATGAATTCCATTGTCTCAATACGTGGTAGATTTCTAAAACATTGACGAGAAATGTACAGAAATTGACTGAGTGTCTAGGGTTACATTCACATTTTAAAACGTGGGAATAAATTCGAAGATACTGATTGCATTGCGCTGTATGACTAGCTTTTACAAAGAGCTTAGGGAATGGACAAGCTATTTTTCAAATACTTGGTATGTAAAGTGAAACATCTTAAACTTAACTGAGTGAAATCGTCAAAACGCACTCCTTCGGTACATTACATACTCATGATACCCTGAACACGGTGGGTTTGAGTATTGTGTATTTAGTCTCCGAAAACATCATGCATTTCCACTTCTAAAGTGTTGGTTAATTGTTTCTTTGCTTTTTCATGTGAATCTGTATTATCATCAAGTTCTCAGATTTTGCAATGTTTCTCAGTATTATCCTATCAGCAAACTATCTGCAGGTCAACTCATTTTTGAAGTGTCCGTAGCTATTAGCTGGTAGGACTTTGAATCTAGGAAGTTAATTGTTAGCTGATGGGAAGAAATGGTATAGCAGCTAAAATCCTGAATAGTTCTCTGACTGATGTCAGTCCATAATGATGACCACCTTGAAATCAGTCAACAGCAAAAAACTTCCAAGTTAAATTACTGTAGTTCTATTCTAGTCTGTTTATTAGAAATAGTTCGTTTTTAGTACTGTCTCTCTATGTTACCCTATTGTGTGATTGTGCGTAATTGCGTGCACAGCTATAGTCAGGCTTTTCTAAAGATTTCTTATCTTATTACGATCTAGTAATATTGATTTTGCTATTTTTGCACTCTGATATTCTAAATGACCTTGGTTGACTACTACTTTGATGCATTTAATTTCGAATTCATTGTATGAGATTTGGTAAACCAAATAATTTTGCCCAACTGGATCACTAGTATCTTTTAACTTATAAAGCTTGTTTCTAAGTGAGTTTACTGGTTTAAACGCCACTTTAATCCCAGCCTTATTGAGAATTATTCGTAATGCTTCTAAGGTGTCTTCTTTGTATGGTAATACAGTGAAAGCTTTCTCAACACTGTCACCATTATTACTACCATGATTACGATAATTAATGGAATTATTGTTAATAACACCTGTGTTACTACTACTACTACTACTACTACTACTACTACTACTACTACTACTACTACTACTGCCATTGTTCTTTTGATTTCTTATGAATTTGTTTGTAAATTCAGGTGGGTAATTCTTGACACACCAGGTATGCTTGATGCGTCTAATTTCTTGTAGTAAATTTTCTGTCCAACTAGTAAGCTTCTTGCCTTATCACTTAGGCATTTTACTGAGATAGGATGAGATGACCTGAAGTCTAGGTAGTGATTCGAATGAGAAGGGTTTCCTTGAGGCACTAAACTCTAAACTTTCATGTTGTTTCCATTTTCTCTTGCTAGCTCACCTTCATCGCTTTCTGAGCGATAGGTAAGTTGGATTGCGTTCAATACTGAATTTAAATACGTCAAGATTTTAATGATGTGTTCCGATTTCATCACTATAAATGTCACCTACACATCAGAACCTGTATGGTGCCCAATTGTGACATGCTTTGAGGAGGATTTCCCGAAGTCCTAATGAGAAACCATGACCTGTTGGGTCAATCTAGTTGGACGTGAGCCTAATAGAAATGTATGATAGTCACACCATACTGCAAAGTGATGGAAGTAGGAAAATATGAACCATCGTAATTCGACCTCGTGGCTCTAAAGTAACTTGGTTCCCACTAGACCTAAGTGTCCTAGATCTGGTTGCTAGCGGGGTTGTGGGTGAGCACTGTTGCATAGTTTCATACTACGACAAAATGGTTATTCACTGCTCTCAGGTTTTCAAACAATGTTAGTCTGCGATGAATACTACCTTGGAATGAAACCATTTTATGATTCAAGATGAAGGTGTGTTATTCACTGCGGACAACTTGAAAAACTGCATAGTAAGCTGATCATTCATATCTAACGAATATTTAAGAGAATGTGTATGTAGATTCACATTTATGTAAAGCTAAATTATGATTTGATTCACAAAGTCTAATGAATAGGTAGCAAGTCATTACTATTAAACAAATAAACACTCATTGAAGGATGAGTGACTTGCCGTTTGACGATTCAGATGATCTTCACCCTTGAACCGTTACTAAATATACTAATAATAAAAGCTCAATCTTTTCTAGTCATCAGGGTATGACTGCATTCATTCATTTATTCAGAAGTTCAAAATCCTGGTCAAAGAATTAGAAATTATGCAATTTCAATGTGGCTAAAATCTTCAATTCGAATTCTTTAACAAAACTATGGTACAGTGAATGTTGGACAACATTTGATTCAACTTCTACCAACCTCTGTTAGAAGAGGAAATAACCAGTGGGTTCATCAATATATTAGCTGAGTCGAACTATATTACGCAGTAAGAGTTCAGATCTTGCGTTTACAAACCTCAGTCAATTAAAAAAGGTAAAAATGATGCGTCATAAGATGAATAACTATTAACATAGGGCATCTGTGCAAAATATTCACAAGTTAACACTAAGCAAAGTTAAAAGTAAGTACACCTAAACAGTTAGAAAACAAGCGCAAGCATAACGACATTTTGTTGGCGGCATACTTGTCACACTAACTGAAATTTGACAAAAAGAACTGTAGGACTACACTCCCTTCTGTTCAACTTAAAATGTAGGTGGTTCTCACAAATAACCAAGTAACAAGAGGAATCGGTACGTATATTGAAAGTTGTCTCTCTTTAACTAGTTGCTGATGGACTATGATAATTTAATTCTGCACAGGGTTCTTGAAGAAGACTGAGGAAGCGACATGATTAGAGTTAACCAAGAGGTTCAAGGTGGACTTACTGCACTGTACCATGGACACCCAAGTAGGATAGTGTTCAAGATGTGTTTGAAATGACTGAGTTTTTTGAGGCCTTCAAAGTCAGTTGTGCAAGAGCAGTTAAACTGAAGATGCATATAGATTTGGTCCAAAATGGCAGTATACCCTGAACATCTCTTCAAAACAACTGTCGGCTGCAAAAAAACCGTTTGCAGTTTGACAGCAGAGAATGCTTTTATAATTCCTTCAGAAAGCCGACTACTCAGCAGTTTTGTTGCGTTGTCTCCTTGAATTCAGTATCCAATAATAAAGGTCTCCTTAGGAACAGTAAGAACTCGTTCTTGCCGCTGTTTCTACTTCATGCTTTTTTAAGGAGTCTTGACGGCGCAGCCGTTCTGAAGAAGAATTATTCGAAGATATTCCATCTTTTCGTCTGTTGCACAGTCTATAAAAAATTCTTCTTATCCTCGTGATAGGTGAACTGATAAAGTTCCTCTATCGTCTCAGTGGCACCCAGCTTTGAAAGTGAGTATATTCTTCAGTACAAGTTCGTTTCCTGTGGATTGGAACTTTCAGAAAGCTATCATGTTTTCTCTACAAAGAAATATCAAGAGAATAAAATCTTGAACAGCTCTCAACTTCTGTCGAATAATCGATAGAGGGATGACCCTCAATGAATTTTAGAAGACTACCGTCAAGGTTAATTTTCTCATCGTAGACGATGGAAGTACCATCAGTATACCATCTATACAGGTGGAACTGATCGATAACTGGCCGTAGTAAGGTGTTTTCCAAATTAGATATAAAGCAATCTGATAGAAAAGGATCCATTTCTGACGACATTGCTACTGCATCATTTTGTCAATAAAATTCATCACTGAGTTTGAACTGGACATTAAAAGTGCATCGTTGAAGTAATTCCTATAGTTATTGAGTTAGAAAAACGACTGCGATATTGTTAGTTTTGGTGTAGCTACACAAGAAACAAACAGTCACTGTAGGTGGAACATTTGTGAAGAGTGAGTTGATATTCAGAGGGAATATTCGCTTCCCAGATAAATTCGGGTTGATCACTGGTTCGACAAAATCAAATGATTCAAGTGAAGTATGTTTAATAATCCCATTTCCCACTGGCTGAATAAATTCAGACAGCCACTTAACAAATACAAGGTGAAAGGAATAATTCATATTCAATAATGAACAGGGTGGAACATAGCGAGCAATTCTAGAAAGACACTTAAGATCAAAACTCTGTAATCGCTCCATATCTTCTACTTTCAAGGGTCATTTCTCATACCAATATAACAGAACAGAACGAACGGCAGTACAGTTTGCAGTAGTTCGACCCTATTAAATAAGTGTTTGATCAGGTCTTGTTGTAATGAACTGGAAAGAAACTTAAAATATTTATTAGCAGAAACTGAAAGACTCTTCATAATCTGCGTCATTGAAGAATGTGTCTTCGGCGAACAGGCATTCAAACCAACACCAATATTGGTGCATTCATACAAATCATTGTGCTGTCTAACTTGTTCAAAAATGTGTTCCCCAAACAATATATTTAATGATGGTAGTATCCTTGATTCTGTTATGATTTTCAGTCGGAAAATTGACAGTCAATTCTCAGGCGACAATCCAGTTTCAGCTATCAAATTATGGCATAACATAACAAAGCAAATGATCGATGATTGTAATTACATTGGGAAAAAACGCTGTTTAACAGTCCGATATGAATGTCTTGTATTGTATCCCGAATTACAATTGAGGCGAATTCTAAGTAAGTCGGAATGCAGTTGAATTTATATGCTTAGTGATTATGAGATTATCACCGAGATTATTGTTTTTCGATTCTTTATTCAACGGTTTTCAATGTGAGACAAATAACATGAGTAAAGCCTCACGGCTTTCACTATGTACTGATCAGTGAGGTTTTGATTTAACAGACTGTACTTCAAGGTCATGAGCTTTTGATAGTGACGTTGTTTCACACAGATATGAGTCACTGGGATTGACTGAAACGAGTCAATCTTCACTCACCGACTTGTCACTACCCAAATCCACTCGGTTGTGAAACGCTTCAAATGAAAGTCTCAAACAACTTGTTTGTGATTAGCCCATGCGATATGCTTACCGATTGTTTCTCTAAAGCCAACAAATGTTAAGACAGATTCACAGTTTCCCAAGACATCCATTGGTGTTAATATAGTGTAGGGAAGACAAAGACTAATGTAGTCAAAACTGTTTGACAATTGGGTCAACGTCACCTGCTGTTATAATACTTCTGTCTGATTAACTGAAACTGAGCTAAAATAATTTCAAAATAAACCTTTCGGATAGGGTGGTCAACTCACAAACGACTGAGAAATTGGGCAGTCCACGTTGAGATTTTCCGGAGTTGAGTTGATTTTCAGCTGCCTAACTCTGATGCCAACAGGGTCTCCCTCGGAAACCACTCATCAGTCAAGATCACAAGGTGTGATCTCTGATATAAAAGTGCCATGACGTAACGAAATATACACCTGAACAAGCTGAGTAGTTAGAGGCCAGTTAGGCTGACCTGTAGATTTCACCAATCAGAACATAGTCATGTACACACTGTAGTAGTCGTTTCGTGTTATCTGGGCTTTCACAGTCTGTTACGGATATCTCGCCAGCAGATTTAGTGACATTAGGTTCAGTTCAATTGTGAGGTCAGGTCTTTCGACTTTCTCACGTTTTGCAGTGATTTCATTGGCTAGTGCTTCACTTCATTATCGAAGAAATGAAGCAGTCAGTTGACAGTCTCTGAGACATCTTGGATGAAGGATAGAAGATAGTGTTTTATCGAGTTGAAGCAAGTGTATTGTAGTCTATTCTTCAGACAAACATTTAATGATGAAATTGAGTGAGTGGATGAAAATGCAAATATGGTGTCTTTCGGTGAAATTCGAGGTTGAGGTGGTTAGGTTGTGACGAACTTTTCCCTGTCAACTATGAATTGGACAATATTTGAGGTCAGCAAGATACTATAAAGATATTCGTTTTTATGTAGTACAAATGAAAATGGGAAGTTTCCATCTATTGAATTTGCTCAACAGAATATTTGGCTAGTTAATGACACTTTTGTGTCGAGATTATATCTTGTGATCTTGGTTGATAGGTGGTTTGCAACGTCAGTCCTGTTGACAGTAAAGCTGGGCGTTTGGAAAACTACTCAACCTCAAGAAATGTGAATCATTTGTAGATTTATCATCCTACTAGATTTGAGCCACACCATGTAATTCAGGTAGCTAGATTCATGTGATCCAAACTAATTCGGTTGTTTGGACTGTTTCTCCGGGTACACGACTGATGACCTCTACCCTGAACTTGTGAAACGGCCATCCAGTGCTAAGATATCTGTGATGTTGCTGGGGAAATCTAAAGATCAGCCTTAACGCTTTCTGACTACTCGAGCTGTTCAGTAGTATATAGACGTTTCATAGTTAGGAAAGGAAAGTAAGGGTCAAAGTACTTTTCCTGCTGACTGCGTGTATTCGATTTTATTTTAGTCCGTCAGCATTAGAAAATTATCTGGAGATCAAATTAACCCTGTTTATAGAATAAGCAGCAAATTTATGTTATTACTATAGAAAAAAGCTCACCACAGGTTGATATAAGTTTACTCTCAGTTAAACAGATGAAGACGGATTTATAAGAAACCGCCTGACGAAACTACTTTGTTCTCCTAAAACTTTATTATATATATATATATATATATATATATATATATATATATATATATATATATTAGCCATCAGGTGCCTGCAAAAAAGCAAATCTATCCTGACACCTGACTGTTTGGCTTTTTATATCACCTGATATTCAGTTATAAATCTTCCTACATGTTTTGAAGGAACGCCTAAACATCAATGTCTACGTCTGTTAGCAATCGGCAGTAAGCTTTTTTTCGAACTCGGTTTCGTGCCTGCTGGCACTCTTTAGTAAAGCGCATAAGCGATCTTGGCCGAACTGATGTTTTGCATGTGGTGCGAACCAATGTCAGCCAGTGTTGCAGTTAGAGTCGTTACCAGTGAGCTATTCGGGGTAAGACTGACCTCCTGCAGGAATGAATTAAACACACTAACCAGAAACTATCTAATTTAATATTTTTTTTAGCCCTGAACGCTGACTGAACTCTTTTGATTTCTTTGTAACACGGGCTGGAATCTCTGAAGGAACAACAGTTTCATAGAGGTGGTAGACATGCCTTACTGAAGAGTCTCCATGATCACAAAATATTGTCCTGACAGGGCTTCCTGGCGATAGGTTGCACCCATATAACAGAGTGTACTGTGACTCCGTCTCTTTGCTTAGTGAACACAAAATAATCCATAGAACTCGGTCAGTTCCTAGACTAGAGAATATGAACTACTTACTTTCAGCGACCAATCAATGTTTGTCTCTAACAGTATAAAATTTCTGCTTCTATTTTACAGAATTTCTTGATCTGCCTTGGGATCCTGTATTGTTGAAGCATGAAAACGTTGTTCATAACATTTCCAAACTCAACTTGTAAGTACTGATTATTCATCATTTATTGATATGTCTCGCTGAAACCTACTGCACTTGTGACTTTGATGACTGAGTGGTCTGACGCGTTAAGCAATGGATTCTGACTTGAAATCTGATTGAAAATATAATAACAATGCAAGTACATTCGGCTGATGACATCCCTGTCTCAGACTCCACCTTTTGTCACTAATACGAATAGAACATTACTACTGAGTTGTCAACAACTTATTGTTTGGTATCTGCCAGTTTTACGCTAAATCATCAGTGACAATAATATGACTGTGTTATTCATTGATATTACAGGGAAGAGTGGTTGATGACGCAAATATGCTTACAAATAGACAAACCAATTAGGTCTACCGAATCGCATACAATAAGTTTAGAATGATAAACCATAGTAAAATGAGAAATCTGCTAAAGTGCCCAGCCATAGCCATTTTTGTCATCGCACATATACATACGCACGCAAACATGCAACAAAGAAGAAAATCAGCGTGATGAATTAAGCAGATATAGAGATAGTGAGACAGATTGATAACGGAATTATTTTTCGTTCAATTGACGTTTCATATATCTGATGAGAGCAATGCATACCTATTTCAAATATGTGGAAAATTTTTTCTGTAAATAAAACAGTAGAGATATAGAGATCAGACATGCAAGTTGAGGGACTTTAAAGGCCACCTTGGAAACAACTGAAATAACCAATTAGATTTCATTATTTCAGCTCGACAGACAGCTTTTTATAAAATGCAGAACTATTAGATGTTAAGGTGGACACTGCAGAAAGTTATATAATTACCCTGATATGATCGATTATGAGAAACAAATTATGATTGAAACACCATTTGGTAGATAATATTGATTCACTGTGGTATGTATGCGATGAAAAAGAAACAATAGGTATCAACTATACTGTACCACATTGCCGAGATTTCACACCTATGTTAAACTGCTGATTAGTTGGCTAGAATGATTATAAAAATTCCACGATTAACTTGTCCAGCTCAGTTGCAGTAGAACTTCCACTATTTAATGTATTTATGCATCAGTAACATTATTCATGTAATCTGAAATGAAACAGTGATCAGTATGAATGTTTACGAAATACCAACTAATTTTATGAGGAGTAAACTTGTATTTGGTTAGTCTCCTTTTCATGAAGTAATCTGATGTATATTTGTAGCAACCTATTTGTTTAGATATCATGAGTTTGGTGTCTTCTCTTTCTCCTCTAACTATTCAGTCAAGAGGCCAGTACATCACAGTTTATCAAGCCTATACACATAGAATCGTTAAATTCATGGACAAAGAATAGTTCAATCTTTCCACAAATATTTCTTCGGAAGTTTCATGAGTACACAAATTTATTGAACGAAACTGGATATCTAACAGATCACATACCTCCAAACTACAAGGAACTATGTAGAACCGCCCATATTCATGAATAAAATGCTTCTAAACATGAATATTTCCCATTCCCTATGTATCGTTTTTCAGTGATTTTGAGATTTATTGAAAATATCTGTGTACAGTGGAGTATATAAAGTTGACATTTGAACTTGCTCGGAAAATGACATTCTCCTTTGTTCTGATACTCCAAGTTCGTATACCTGAAGACTCCTAGCATGGACTGTCCGATAGAATAATCTTGATATAAACTGAGAATATTGAAGTTGAGAGCGAAGGAAGATGTGTGTGTGTGTGTGTACATAGCTGGACGTGAAAATGTGTAAAACAATCTTGCAACTGCTAAATGATCAAGCAAAATAAGTGCAGTTTAAAAAAGCTTAACAGGTAGCTCTCTCTTTTTTTCACTTACGAAATATTTTTTTAGCGATCACTCTTAAGTTTATTGTGTCTTTACATAATATGGTAGAATGTTGACAGATGTAGTTCCTAAAAAGAGGAAACACTACTGTATACATACACCCATTGTTTTGATAATTTGATAATTTCTATCTCTAATTAACCTACAAAATCCTTCAGATGGCAACTGAAGCTTACAACGATAAAAAGCGGTTATGCCATAATACTATCATGGATACTACTAATAATAATGGATTTAATGAGTATGTGGTGTGTAGTCTTCACATTAGAAGGAAGAACAGTTAATCAGACGCCGAAGGTTCTAGATAACGAAACATGGTGTAGCGGAAAATGCCGTTTTATCTCACAGTTAGAAGAGGAACACCCATAATCTTTACAAAAATGAGTTCTTATTAAGTGGTCGTATTTCATCGTTACTTATAGTTGGTTGACCTTAATCAGTACCACTGCCTGCAGACTAGATGAAGATCCGTGACTTGAGGTGTTCGGAGATATCAAGCAGGTTTTCAAGGTTGTGGAGTGGCTAGTATGTATTGTGCATTCGAGAAAGAGGACGGTGGTATGAGATATTTCTTTGGAGTCACGCTACTGCGGCATATGAGACAGTCGAGTGTACAGGTGAAAAGGCTTCTGGAACGTCGTGAAGAAACGAATAGTGACAGAGTTCGATAGCACGACAAGCGTAACGCAGGCAATGAACAACAACTCCCAGATAACCAGGTTAGTATGAGGAGGAGATCCGTTGGTGTTAATAATACCGCTAACCACTCCGCCACTTCAGTGCCTCCTAAGTTGAAGTAGGAGTCTCAAACAAGAGTACAATAACTGTTAAATGAGATGACACCAATAACCAGTTATATTCTCATCTCACTCACTAGGAAGTAAACAAATGTTTATTTTTTCCAGCTGCTGCGTATTTCCTGAAGTCGGAGAAGTGGGAATCAAGTGATAATTTTCATAATTATTTATCCCTGGGTTCCTAGTGGAACATTCGGCTTCAATAGCACGTCTACACTCCACTCTCTTCTCTGCAAACACTTCAAACTGGCACCACGACAACCCACAAGCTCTCATTTCTTCCTCACACCATATCCTCTATGTCACCCTCACCTCAGACGCCCAACTCACCGTTTCCCATCTGCGTTCCACTCGACCGACTGGCCTGACGCCTGATGTCTCCAGTCGGCCTTCTCAGTGTATGCCCAACCCAATCCATCTCCACATTCTTCCACTGAATATTTGTTGAGTGATATGTTCTTGCTTCGTTGGTTCGTTGCCTGCCTGCCAGCCAGCCAGCCAGCCAGCTAGCTAGCTAGCCAGCCAGAGTTCCTTGTTGCTTATTCTTATTGTTCTCACCATCTGAGCTTCAGTAACGAGCCAGAGTAGGCACTTGTTGATGAATGTCTGTAGTTTGTTGGAAATGCTTTTCGTAACGCGCCAAGTCTCTCAACCACCACATAGAAACACTGACTGACTTGACGTTGGCGTTGAAATCCGGATATTGTTCACGCCTTATGCTGAGTGCAGAAGATCTCCACACTGGTTTCAGGTGAATGAACGCCTGTCTTGCTATCTTTCCGACCCTGACTTTGACGTCCTCGTCTATGCCTGTGCCGTCTGTAGTTGAAACGATGCTGCCTAGGCAGGCAGGTTGGTGAAAGAGACTACTTCCTTCAAGTTTCTCCCATTGATGGTGATCGGAGCTCGTTGTTGCTGGTTGCGTATCTTCATCACCTCCGTCTTCTCTACGTTCACTTGAAGTTCGGTCTCCGCTTCCCTGCCCTGCCCCTGCCTCCTCTGTCAACTTGTTAGTTTTCGCCTGTACATCTTCAAGTTTGTGTGACATTAGAGATAAGCCATCGACGAAATCCGAATCTTCTAGGATCTTTTCCGCAGTCCAGCCAAGGTATCCCCCTCTTCTCGCTCCTCACTGTTGTCTGCTGCATGATCCAGTCCAGTCCACTACAATCAGGAATATCATGGATGATAGTAGACAGCCTTGTCTTACTCCTTCCTGTCTTCACTTCAAAAGCATCACTGAGCTTTCCATTGTGAATTACTTGGCATGTGGCGTCTTCATATAGTTGTTGAATGAGGTTGATAAAGGTTTGTGGTATTCCGCAGTGTTGAGGCAACTGCCAAATTACTTCCCGGTTGGCGCTGTTAAATGTCGGCCTTTTCAAGGTCGATGAAGTTGAGGTAGAGGGTTGACTGAACTGCCATTCTTTACTCTGTTGTATGATGATGCGAAGCGTTGCAAGTTGATGCGCATATGATTTGTACTTCCTGAATGCCAGCCAGCCAGCCAGTCAGCCTGTTCCGGTCGTAGTTTTGAATCCAGTGCATCCTCTAGTCTCGTCAGGATGATGCGGCTTAATATTTTGCTTGCTCTGGGTGGACAGAAGCATGATTCCACACCAGTTCCTGCAAAGACTTAGGTCTCCCTTCTTCGGAGTTTGACAAGATAGCCCTTCTTCCAGTCAACCAGCAGGTACATTCTTTTCCTTCCAGAACTTCTACAATAGTGGTGTGAGCATGTCGCCGTTGTCTCTGTGTCTGCTCTAAGTGTTTCTGGCGAAGTTCCATCCGATTTTGCTGCTTTCCCGCATTTCAGTAGCTTTATGGCGTTCAAAACTTCGACTTTTGTTAGAGGATTTGCGTTCACTTGTAGTTCTGAGGCTGCAGGTGGTGTTCGATTCGAGAGTTTTTTGAAGTGATCAGCTCTTTCCTTTGTTTCTCCTCTCTGGAGGTAACTACGTTTCCTTCACTATCTTTCATTGGTTTCATCTGAGTTAATCTCTTCCTTCCCAGATACTAGCCTGGTTATTTGATATAGTTTTGTCAGGTCTCTATTTCTTCTACCTGCAGCCTGTTCTGATACACTTGCCAGTGTGTCGTAGAAGTATCTTTTGTCTTTGTGCTCACTCTTCTTCATTTCCTAGTCCAGTATTTTTATGTTGTACACAGTTCCTCTTTTCGTTGTGCATCCTTGCACTGGTTCATCTTCTGCTTCAACATCCTCCTCTACCTGCTCTATCAGCTTCCATCTGTCCATAGAGATCCATTCCTTGTCTTGCTCCTTCTTCCTTCCTAACATGGTAATGTAGGTTTCTTTCCACATAGCTTTCTAAGAGTTCCAGTGTTATTCTATGCAGATTTCCTCGGGGATGCTGCCTAATGTCTCGCAATTTGTCCTGATGACTGATGTGCAGATATCGTTTGTAGTTTTGTCCTTCAGTTAGTTTCTGTTCTCGGTGTTGAACTTGAACTGTGGTATATCACCAGTTTCTCTGAGGGCTTTCAACTTCATTTTGAATGTAAGTTCCTTGCACTAGATACTGAGTGGTGTGAACCTACATCTGCTCCTCATCTTCATCTGATCTTGTGTCCAATAGCATGGCTGCGTCTCCACTTTGTTCACATTGAGATGAAGTGGATCTGATTTTTAGGGTGTGCTGGTGTCTGTTGAAATCCATGTTGCTTTTTGAATATCTTTGTGCTTGTATACAATGCTTCCAATCACCAAATGTTTGAATGCGCAGAAGTCTGAAGAGAGTTCTCCATCCTCGTTCATTTCACCGAGTACTTCTCGAACCATGATGGATGTGTTCTCTTCCTGTGTTGTCCGCTCCCAGTTTAGCATTCATGTCGCCCATAAGAATTTCGATGTCGTTAACTGTGGTGGGGTCTTGTCCATTGCTGATTGCAGTTGTCTGTAGAATTCCTCCTTCTTCTCTTCATCTGCATTATTTATAGATGGGTGGCGTAGCAGTGAATGATTGTGACCTTCCTTCCTTTTGAGTTGAATCCATCTTGCTGTGGTGACCCTGGAGTAGGAGTTTGGTTCTCTCTGCATAAGAGAGAGCCTTCTATGCTGTTGGGAGGGGGAGGGGACATCATGATAGCCACTTGGAAACTCAGTGTGCTCGTGGTTGTCGTCTGGGTGACAGCATGGGAGTAGATTATTGACTTTCCAGTTGACACTTTGGAGAGTCCACTTCTATTCCACCTGCTTTCACAGATTCCTAGCCTGGTACTTCTATGCTATGCCTTCTCATTTCTTTTACAATCTGGACAGCCTTGCTAGGTTCATACATGTTGCGGACATTCGATGTCCCTATGCTTACTTTCGCTTTCACCAGGGGAGAGAGAGAGAGAAGACACATCGGTCAGTTGGCTTCCCAAAGGCAGGCTTTCACCAACCGGCATCCTTTCGCCTCTCCGATCCAACAAGGAATACGTTTATTTTTAATTTTAACATTTTGCTTATGCTTTGAAGTTTCTTTAGCGGTTGGATTGGTTTTGCGGGGTAGAGTTGCTAGCCCAACACCCAACCTTCTCTGTTTTTTTTCTGGCTTAGGACCGGCTAGTAACTGTGAACTAGTTAAGTAGACGAGGTTGAATTTAATATGAAATGCTTGTTTAATTGGCCTGATATAAAACGTTGTCTCCTCGCTGGTGCTTTTGAATTTCGTTTTTAATTGTCAGTACGACAGTCCAATTTGCACTTCACATCATCTGCTATCTTGCATATCTTGATCAACAGTGTTTGAGATAATCACAGAAACGGCAGTGTTTCGGGAACATTATATACTAACTCGAGTTAGTCTGATACGGACTCGACAATCGTATAAAGCTTTTCCGTTACTTTGGCTATTTCAAAGCCTCAAAACTTAGTCGCGAATTGATTTAGCTTATAGCCTACTAAGGTGATAAAGTCCCAAAATATTTAGTTCCACGGCAATTGTTATATGAAAAAGAGACAGGGAAGCAAAAAATTCGATACAATTTTGTATTCCTGAACTCCTTACATTCTATGGTATATCACTTCTTTTTTTGCTATTGTTTCGAAATAAACAAAATTAGTTCCCACACTAAAGTATATAAATAAATGTTGAAATTGTATGCATTA